TCAAATTAGTCAAATAATGACCTCTCGGATCTTTGGAACCTTCCAGAAAAGAACATCGGAACCTTCCAGAAAAGAAACAGAGACTCCTGGAATTTTCGTTAAGTAACGAAGCTATCGAAACATCGCGGATTCATATAAATTTTGCTAGATTTCGATATCTATACCAGAAGTTCCGGAGTTCTTGTATGTTCTGGTGTTCCAGATGTTTCTGGAGTTCCTTTGATTTCTAGAGTATAGAGAATTGAGCAGTTCCACGCCACACGACGAATCGGATCGACCTTCTCCGATTTGCATGACATTTTGCATAATTGTTTGTTATGGGCGATGAATCACATTTTTGATAAAATTCTACCACTTTAGATCTTGTCATATTTTCAAAATGGCGCATTTGATTTTTTTTTTATTTTTTTTTCATGAATAAAAAAAATCAAAACAACTTTGCCTCAGAAGTCATTTCGATCAGAAAGGCTGTGCTACAATTTCTTGAAAATTTGTTACAAGATTCAAAAAGGCCGAATTTTGACAAAAACGTGCATCGTTGCCCATAACAAACAATTACTCAAAGTTTCGTATAAATCGACCAAAGTCTATTCAAAAAATTCATTTCTTTTGCTCAATTCTTTCAGTTCCGGCTTGAAAAAACTCTTTGAGTGCTGGATATCCTGGAGCACACTTAGCTGCTTTTTCGTTTTCGGTAATTTTTGAACAGCGGAACTGTTAGGTAAAAGTTAAAAATCTATGAAAAATTCAAAAAAAATAGTTGAATGATTCCGAATTTTAACAAACTTTGTTCTGTTAACTTCATTAAGCAACCAACCAAACAAATGAAATAAACCTATGTTATTGATTTCTTACCTGTAACGGTCATTTGAATTTTAAACCAACTTTTTCAGTAGTTCAAACGCACAGTAAAAAATTAATGACTTTTGTAAAATAATCAAAGTTTGAGGATTTCAAGAATTTTACCGCAATAGCACTTCTAGAGCTTAAGAGGTCCGGGAAACCTAAGAGCTCCGGGAATCCCAGAAAACAACTCTCGAAATAACGGACTTCTGGAGCTTCTACTACGTCTGCTAGTTTTGATGTTTCGCATGTTCTGATTGTTTCAGTGGTTTGCTAGAGCAGCTAAAGTTTAGAGAAAACCTTCAGTTTCGGCATTTATTGGGGCTCCAAAAACACTCGGAGTGCTGGAAGTCGCTTAGTTTTCAGAGAACTATCCCGAAACAGCGAGAATACTTCTGGAACTTCAGAAACATCCAGCTGAACGCTGAGATATAGGTCGGCACTTTTGAGCTTCCAGATCTCCGGGAAGCTTCAAAAACTCTGGCAATCGCAGAAATATCCGCTACTTTCCAATTCTCCAGAAAATAACTTATTAAATAACAGCGGCTCCTGGTGCATTCCATAGTCGAAACTGTCGAAGCATCAAGAGCTCACAGGGTCTGGTAATTTTCGATACACCAAGAATTTTCGAACTCCATTCGGATTGTTCCAGAAGTTCCTATTCCTCGAAAAGCAAGAAATGGTAGACGTACTAGTGTCACTAGAATTCTCCCGAAACAACGAGAATACTTCCAGAACTCCAGAAACTACCCGACTGGAGCCTTCGATTAAATTTCAAAACTATAGAAACAACGAGGAATCGGAGCGCATGCAGATCTCGGAGTACCAGGAGTTATTGAAGTCTTACATTTTCTGAGTGTTTTGTTAAGTTGTTTGAAGTTCTTATGGTTTACAGAGTTGCTTAAGTTTTGAGAATTTTTTCAGTTCCGGCAGAACCTCTAGATTTGCTAATGCTTCGATAGCTATCCCGAGACAACGAGAATACTTCTGGAACTGCAGAAACATCTCGGTTGGGACGCTGTGAACTAAATCGGAACCTCTTGAACTTTTAGGAAAAACTTCAACAAATCCAGAAACATCCGGAACTTCCGGAGCTTGAAAATTGCCGGATCACCAACGCCTTTCAGTACTCCAGAAATCTGGGAATAACTGAGACTCCTGAAGCTTCCGTTCAATCTTGAATCAACGAGGACATGCAGAGTCTGGTAGTTCTCGAAATATGTTTCTCATGTTCTGAATGTTCCGGAGAAGTTCCCACGTTTTCTGGAGCTGCGGAATTACAGAAAGTTCTTTCACTTCTGGCAGGTAATGGAGTTTCAGAGGTCTAGGAATGCTGAAAATTTTGCATTCAAAAGTGTGCAGACCATTCTGCCGAAATAGCTCCGGAACTACATGGACTTTTGACTTTTGACAGATGAGGATGTACAGAGATTTCTCGGAGTTTCCAGTGCTAGCAGTTCCAGAAGTTCTCGCAACTTCGGGAGTTGTCGAAGAAACAAGAGTCGCTCAACTCCGGGAAGCGTCAAAACCTCTCGAAACTCCGACAAATCCAGAAATATCGGGAACTTCCGGAGTTTGAGAATTCCGGGATCAACGAAGCCTTTCAGTTTAATCCAGAAACTTGTAAATAACTAGACACCTGGAACTTCCGTTCAATCTCGAACCAACGAGAACTCGCAGAGTCTGTTAGTTAATGAAGTACCAGGAATTTTGGATGTTTCGCATGTTATGAATGTTCCGGAGAAGTTTTTTGAAGTTCTTATGGTTTACAGAGTTGCTTAAAGTTTTGAGAATTTCTTCAGTTCCGGCTAATGCTTCGAGAGTTATCCCGAGACAACGAGAATATTTCTGGAACTGCAGAAACATCTCGGTTGGGACGCTGTCAACTAAGTCGGAACCTCTTGAACGTTTAGGGAAAACTTCAACAAATCCAAAAGCATCCGGAACTTCCGGAGCTTGAAAATTCCCGGATCACCAACGCCTTTCAGTACTCCACAAATCTGGGAATAACTGAGACTCCTGAAGCTTTCGTTCAATCTTGAATAAACGATGACTCGCAGAGTCTGGTAGTTCTCGAGGGATGTTTCGCATGTTCTGAATGTTCCGGAGAAGTTCCAATGTTTTTTGGAGTTGCGGAATTACTGAAAGTTCATTCAGTACTGACAGTTATTGGAGTTTTAGAGGCTCTAAATAGGAATGCTGGAAATCTTGCAATCAAAAGTGTGCAGACCATTCTGCCGAAATAGCTCCGGAATTTCAGAAACATCCCGATTGGAACGCTGGACGGGAAACATGTCGGTACTTCTTGAATTTTTATTTTTCCAGGGAACTTTTGACTGTTGACAGATGAGGATGTACAGAGATTTCTCGGAGTTTCTGAAGATGCTTCCAGTGCATGCAGTTCCAGAAGTTCTCGCAGCTTCAGGAGTTGTCGAAGAAACAAGAGTTGCTCAACTCCGGGAAACTTCGAAACCTCTCGAAACTCCGACAAATCCAGAAATATCGGGAACTTCCGGACCTTGAAAATTCCCGGATCACCAACGCCTTTCAGTACTCCAGAAATCTGGGAATAACTGAGACTCCTGAAGCTTCCGTTCAATCTCGAACCAACGAGGACTCGCAGAGTCTGGTAGTTCTCGAAAAATGTTTCGCATGTTCTGAATGTTCCGGAGAAGTTCCCATGTTTTCTGGAGCTGCGGAATTATAGAAAGTTCTTTCAGTTCTGGCAGTTATTGGAGTTTCAGAGGCTCTAGCAATGCTGAAAATCTTGCAATCAAAAGTGTGCAGCCCATTCTGCCGAAATAGCTCTGGAATACACCCGGAACTTCAGAAATATCCCGATATCGGGAACTTCCGCCGAAGCCTTTCAGTATTCCAGAAACTAGACACCTGGTGCTTCCCTTCAATCTTGAACCAACAAGAACTCGCAGAGTCTGGTAGTCATCGAAGCACCAGGAATTTTGGATGTTTCGCATGTTCTGAATGTCCTGGAGAAGTTCCCATGTTTTCTGGAGCTGCGGAATTATAGGAAATTCCTTCAGTTCAGGCAGTTATTGAAGTTTCAATTTCGGAGAGAGTTCTCCCGAAGCTGCTCCGGAATAGTTCCGGAGCACCAGAAACATCCCCCTCGAACGGTGGGAGTACTGGGAGTTCTGACAGATAGGGATGTACAGGAATTTCACGGAGTTTCTGAAAATGCTTCCAGTACTGGTAGTTCCGAAAGTTTCCGATGATCTTTAATTAATGGTTTGAAAAGTTCTTGGAGTAACGAAGACATTATCGGAAGTTTAAAAGTTCTTCGGGTTGAGTTTTAAGTAACCGAAAATTAACTGAGCATTTAAGAGGTTTCTAAGGTGTTGCGAAAGTTTTACGACTTCCAAGTGTGCTACGTAGTAGGATTGTTACGTGTTTCTATAAGCCCCTAAAGACATTTTAATAGCCGTTTTTGTTTGTATCGCATGACGTTCGCCGTCTTTTATCGGCCACCAAGACAGATAAATCATGCCGGAGACTGCCATAAAAAAGCGAAAATTACGCTCAATAAAATTAGATATTTTACATTCGCCAGTTGTCCCTGCAAGCGCAAGCTGCTAAATCGTCTCTGCATTTGGCGTGCACTCTCACCAATGTCAATAAATATTCCCAACGATTATCTCACGCTGTGAGATCCGGGAATTTTCTATGCAGTCGGAAGATAAATCGATCCGAAATTGCATCCTCCCTCTGCAAAATTTGAATACACCATTAGCCGGGAAAGCTAGAGTTGAGGTTTTACAGTTGGACGCCATCCAACCAACCATTTATTGCTCTCGTAATGTCTTCATTGGCAAATCAGAAATGGTATCATACCACTCTAACGAAAGCAAAAAAAAAAATAAAAACCGGTCGATGACCGCAGCTGCAGCGGAAGCGACAACGCACTGCCATAGCTATAACCATAGCCAAGCGGTCGTCGTAAGCGTAATTCAAATTTCCCCATTCGGTTTCGAGCAGTTTAGCCTATGCCACCGGCGGCGGTCCTATAGCTAGCTTACACACACGCTACGAAATACGCGGCCAAACAGGTTCGCCCAATAGCTGTGTAATATATAATCTACCCACACAAGGCTCTAGTCGCTAGTCGCTAGTGGCTGAACAGAAGAAGAACAACAACGCACCTTTTTGTACAGCTTGATCCACGTGAGATCGCCCTTGGAGTCTGTGTACTGAAGGCCGAAGAACCACACCTCCCGCAGGCCGATGGTTTTGACGACCTGATCGAACAGCTGCTTGCCGGTGGTGCTCTGCTGTATCGCAAACTCCAGCTCGGCGTCCATCGTCGTGACGCGCACGTTCATCTGCAATGTAACAAAAGAAGAAGAAGAAGACAATTAGAATACATCACTCGAATAAATCAATCCGCAACATAGGTTGTTACGCTCCCCTGCATCATCATTGCACCATAAATCACTTCAATCGATTCGACCAAATAAAATCCATCTCCAGCCAAGCGCTTGCGACGACCTTCGGTAATTTATGTTCAGTGTACCTCTTTGAACATGGCAACCACACGCGGGGTGTCGAAGAAAGCAGCGAGCTTGCGCCGCCTAACGGCCTAACGCACACATCACAATGTTACAACAGCTTTTCCTTATTTCGAACGAAAAAGCATTGAACCGCATCGAGCGCGCACTCGTAAATATAGTGTTACTGCGCATTGCAATTGAGGAGGAGGGGGGGGGGGAGGGGACTTAGGCGGCACATCAACGACCTTCACCACTTTCGACACTTTCCTTGACCATAAACTATACTTATATGGCATGGAGCTTGGCAGCATTCGTTGGGTTGGTTCGATTTTGGTGAAACGAAATGGAAGGTGACGGCGTCATGGACGGTTTAAGTGCGGTTGTGAATTATGTCATGGTGGCTAATTGGGCGGGATCTTCACCCCAACTGTTGGGGTAGTGCTTGCGGGTAGCCGCATTGTTTGTTTTCTGATTCTAGGAAGTTCATTCTGAAGGAAGATTATTTGTTACTACTCCCGGGTGAATCGAAGAAGTTGCTCCTGAGATCTTTGAGTGCAAGCTCAGGGGGCTTCTATGATACACTGAAAACGAATCGTACTCAGAGAGTGAGTCACTTCCACTCATTCGTATGGAGAAATTTCTTAAAGGAGCAGTTCCACGCCAAATGACAAATCGGACAAAACTCGACCCTCTTCGATTTGCATATGATTGTTTGATATGAGCAATGACTGACATTTTTGCTGAAATTCGGCCATTTTAGATCTTGTAAAATTTTCAAAATGGCGTTTTTTTTTTAATTTCAACAAATTGTAGCACGGAAACGGCATTTCTGATCGAAATGACGTCAGAGAGAAAGTTCTCTAAAAATGATAACAGGAATATCCTTGACACAATTCCTTTGAATTTATCTCAAAACTTCGTTGGAAATTCCTTTGCAATATTCCGTAGAGTTCCAAGTACCTTGAAATGCTCATTATAAATTTCTTAGAATTCTCAGAATTCTCATAACTCTTTTGGAATTCTTTATTGAATCACCTTGCAATCCACCTCCTGAACATTTCCTTTCAATCCTACTTAGAATTCCATTGGGATTCTCCTTACGTTTCACGTGGAATCTGGAGTACAACAGAGCTAACTTGAAAGGAATCCAAAGCTCAAGATTTCCTAGAATTCCATTGGAATTAACCTCAGAATTGTTATTGATTTCGTTTTAGAGTTCCCTTTAGAGTTCTCTAGGCATTCTACTCACAAGTACTTTGGAATTCTCCTTATAAATTTCTTAGAATTCTTAGAACTCTCTTGAAATTCTCTATGGAATCACTTTGGAATCCACCTCCTGGAAATTTCCTTTGAATCCTAATCAGAATTCCATTAGTATTCTACTCAGAATTGCCTTGGAATTCTCTTTATAAATTTCTTGGAATTCTCAGAATTCTCAGAGCTCTCTTGAAATTTTCTATGGAATCACTTTGTAATCCACCTCTTGGAAATTACCTTTCAATCCTACTCAGAATTCCTTTGGGATTCTACTCAGAATTGCATTGGAATTCTCCTTACGTTTCACCTGGAATCTGGAGTACAACAGAGCTAACTTAAAAGGAATCCACAGCTCAAGATTTCCTAGAATTCCATTGGAATTAACCTCAGAATTTTTATTGATTTCGATTCTGAGTTCCCTTTGGATTCTCCTTATTCTGTAGGCATTCTACTCACAAGTACCTTGGAATTCTCCTTATAAATCTCTTAGAAGTCTCAGAACTCTCAGGACTCTTTTGGAATTCTCTATGGAATCACCTTGGAATCCACCTCCTGGAAATTTCCTTTCAATCCTACTTAGAATTCCTTTGGGATTCTACTCAGAATTGCATTAGAATTCTCCTCCTTACGTTTCACCTGGAATATGGAGTTCAACAGAGCTAACTTGAAAGGAATCCACAGCTCAAGATTTCCTAGAATTCCATTGGAATTAACCTCCTAATTTTTATTGATTTCGTCCGGAGTTCCCTTTACATTCTCCTTATACTTTAGGCAGTCTATTCAAAAGTACCTTGAAATTCTCCTTATGAATCTCTTAGAATTCTCAGTACAGAATTACCTTTGAAATTACCTTGGAATCCTCTACCTGGAAATTTCCTTTGAATCCTACTCAGAATTCTGTTAGGATTCAACTAAGAATTGCCTTGAAATTCTCATTACCTGGAATCTGAAACAGAGCTAACATGAAAGGAATCCACAGCTCAATATTTCCTAACAATTCTTCCTTTGGAATTTTTCTCTGAATTCCCTCTGAAAATTCACATCAAATTCATTCAATGAAGTCCATAAGCTGTAAACGTTTAGCAAGGCCCTTATTTTTTTAAATCTGGTTTCTTGGAAAATATTTACTGTCCGACGTCTTAAAGATGTACTTTCATTCCAGATTCTTGAAAATTTGTCCATGGCTAATTTTATTAGGATTCAAAAATTGTTCAAAGTTTAAAATCAATTGAAATTATCCATGTTTCGGAATTTTAAAAACCAAGTCTCAAAATGTATGTAAATGGTTACTGAAAATAAATCCACTCCGAAATAATTATGCTTTATGAGTAAGTGAATGACGAGGAAGATAAAGTTAGTTGCGTTAAAAATTGTTTCAAAATTCTTGATAAAGTTCCTTGGCGAATTTCAATACATTCTATTCTAATGTTGAAAAATTGCTTACTAGAAAACTTTTGAAACTAGAATTTCAAAATTCCCTGAGAATTATAGATAAAATTCCTTCAAGATTCCCGTTTTTTTTCAGTAGTTAACACCCTGAGAACGTAATGAAACAATGAAATTGGGTTGTTAGCGGAATGCTTAAATAAAACAGCAAAAAAGGTTATCTTCCATTTAATTCCACTTAATTAATTTTGGTATCCATGACATGGATATCAAAATTAATTAAGTGGAATTAAATGGAAGATAACTTTTTTGCTGTTTTACCCTGAGAACGTTTCTTATGTTTCTTAAAATTAAGTCAAAATGAACTTAAAATGAAGTTTCCCAATTGATTCTACGAAGAATTCCAGAATTTTTACAAATTTCCCTGAATTTCTTCGAACATCTACAAAGCCCAGGAGGTTTAAAAAAGTTCAATGAAGTTACAAAAAAATCCCTGAACATCAACGAAGTTCCCCGAATGTCTACAACATTCACCAAATATCTCTTAAATTCGCTCATTTTAAACAATGTTTAATAAAGTTCCGCAAAGTTCGCAAAACTTCTGCAAAACTAGCTGAAGTTCTAAAAGTTTCACTTTGATTTTTTTATGAAGATTAATGAGCTTCTACAAAAGTTTGCTGAGCTTTAAAAAAGTCAGCTTAACTTCTAATAAATTTTCTGCACTTCTAGTCAGTTTCCAGAACTTCTAGTCAGTTCAATTAATGTGAACGAAGATTTAGAAAATTCAACAACGTTTTTTGAAAACCAATAAAGTTCCTTGAAACTCTACAACTTTTCCTTTCCTTTTAAGAAGTTCTCTGAGTTTCTAGCTTTTACGAAGTTCTCTGAAGTCAAATTGCCTTTGACTTCGAAGAAGTCCCCTGAACTTCTGGGAAGACTCAGTTTTATAAATCTGAATTGGTGAACACCGCCACACGTAATTAACATTTTTGGCATTGTGTAATACGTTTTTACCCTTCTTACAGTGAAGGGTATACTACATATCACTTGAAAACCCGCAATCATGTTTCTCAGCAACCATTACACTGAATTAGGCGCAACAAGCAGGGTGGCCAATGACTTTTCATTTGAAATTCCCGGTTGTTGATATTCAACAAAAAACTAAATTGTACGCATTTTTTAAAACGTGGCCAACTGTAAATTTTCAGTCGTTATTTGTGAGAAAAATGAAAGCCAAATTACAGAAAGTGTTTTCTAAAGCTATAGGAAAAATTCAACTCCTAATGTATTCAAAACAATTTATTGATCTTTCGAGATACTTTGATAAATCGAATTCTACCACTTTTTATGATCGAATGATTTCAAAGCCCTAGAGTTTATTGAGTGACAGAGATTAAGTTCACTGGGCCAAATGCTATCTGGATGAATAGGTTATATAATAGGTGAATTGTGAAGAATAAGAGATTTAATAAAAAAATAGTTTCTGAAAAATGAACTTGGTACAAATGAGAATTAGAGCAAATTGATAGTGATATCGGATAAAGAAGATGTGTATTCACTGAAAGATTATTTACTAAAAAGATAGATTCCCAAGATTCTGGGGTTTTGAAATTTGTGTGGGTCTGAAAATAGAACTTTTCTTCAAAATTTGAGATTGATAACAATCTTCGTGATGCAAGATTTGGAGAAAAAATAGTTAAAAAAGTTTTTTTTTTAATTTCCAAGATCACAGATTTGAAAAAAAAAACTTATATTTATTAAATAGTCGTGCAGTCATAATTGTCAACGCTCTGAGACTTGGAAGTATTTTAAGAGTTAAAACAAATTACAGAACAATCGATAGAAACTTGCAGACAAACCCTGGAATTTTCAGTAAAATTTAAAAGTATTCAAAGTGTTGATTTCAAAAAAACTATTGTGGAGGATCCCACATAGTTTTCGAAGAAGAAATTCAAAGCAGAATTCCAGAATCATTGTGACATGAAGTCCTCAGAAATTGTTAGAAAATTTGTAGGGATTTCTGTGGAGAAGATTGCAAGTTCTAAATTAAATTATTAGGCAATTTTTGCAGAATCCCAAGAGAATTATGATGAGAATTCAACAAGAAACAGAGTTCTAAGAGTGTTTTGGCGATAATTTCAACCCTAGTGTGAATGATCCAACATAATTTATTGCAAAAAAAATGCTAA